AGTTTCTCTTTATACACTTTGCTTGCGTGGACCGCATGTTAATTTCACTACTTGCGTAGACCGCATGTTAATTCTATTACCCGCGTAGACCGCATGTTAATTACGTTACTTGCGTAGACCGCATGTTTGTAATTAATTTCATTACTTGCGTAGACCGCATGTTTATTTAATTTCATTACTTGCGTAGACCGCATGTTAATTTCATTGCTTGCGTAGACCGCATGTTTTGCTTGCGTAAACCGCATGATTGTTCAGTTTCATTACCTACGTAGACCGCATGTTTTACTTGCGTAGACCGCATGTTAATTCTATTACCTGCGTAGACCGCATGTTAATTACGTTACTTGCGTAGACCGCATGTTTGTAATTAATTTCATTACTTGCGTAGACCGCGTGTTAGTTACTTTACTTGTGTAGATCGCATGTTTGTAATTAATTTCATTACTTGCGTAGACCGCATGTTAATTTCATTACTTGCGTAGACCGCATGTTTTGCTTGCGTAGACCGCATGATTGTTCAGTTTCATTACTTGCGTAGACCGCATGTTTTGCTTACGTAGACCGCATGTTTATTAAATTTCGTTACCTGCGTAGACCGCATGTTTTGCTTGCGTAGACCGCATGTTTGTAATTAATTTCATTACTTGCGTAGACTGCATGTTAATTTCATTACTTGCGTAGACCGCATGTTTTGCTTGCGTAGACCGCATGTTAATTTCTTTACTTGCGTAGACCACATGTTTTGCTTGCGTAGACCGCATGTTTATTCAATTTCATTACCTGCGTAGACCGCATGTTTTACTTGCGTAGACCGCATGTTAATTCTATTACCTACGTAGACCGCGTGCTCCACTTACATATCTGTGCCTTCACAACATTGTTATGCTTCCCATTCACTTTGCGTTGTCACACATTTTCAAATACATTAATATGCATGTTGCTAACGATATTGTACCTGTTAAGTTTGTTTTCTTTGCAGGCACGATATCGTATGTACGGTTCATTTGAGGCTGGTGTAACCAGACGAGCCGCACAGGTATTGTATCCTCCGAGTGAGCCATATTGAGAATTGCATAATTCTCTTATATCATTTCTGCGTTGTAGTGTAGTTCGGTGTATGCTAGCTTAAAACTGTCGCATGTTATGCTTCGTTACAGCTTTCTTTGCATGATCATAAGTTATGTCCGGCTCTGTGCATTGCCTTGCATTTTGCCCCTGCCTTCGGGCCGCAATACCTGGTTTGTCTTGCATGTTTGTCTAAGTCTTCGGCCTTGTCAAAAATGGGTCGTCTCTGGGCTTTGACATTCACTCCCGTCATTGTTATGACTTTCGAGTTCTGTCAAAGAGGGGCAACTATAAACACCCCATTTTTGACCGTCCCCAAGACTTGGACGTCACCGTTTGAAACCCGGTGATTATCCATGTTTGTGTTCGTTTGGAGTTCTCGGAGGTCCGGCTACGCGCCTTACCTCAGGATCTCCGAACTCGACTGTTTAGTGTCTGGTTTTGCACCAACACTTGTGTTTTGCCTTGGAGGGGCAGGGAATGCCTTGTGAGGCATCCCCACACATCACCGGCCATGGCCAGAGGCCACCGGCTGGTGTTTTGTTTCCATCGGCAATCTATATTGCCGGTCAGCACTATTTGTTGCCGGTCGGCACTCCTTTTTGTCAAAATGGCAATTTTGAGTAGCCGACTACTGTTCATCTACTTTATGTAGATATTTTGTGTCAGCTGTGATAGCTGGCACCAACTCTGTTCCCCTCCATACACGTGTATGGAGGGATTTCCCTCTAAGCAAGATTGTTGTGTAAGCTTTGCAAGGGGGACTTCTATAAGAGGAAGGCTCTCCTCCTTCTTCTAGGTTGGCAAGTTTGAAGAGAAAACCAGAGCTTATACATATACATACACTCTCTCTCTATATTTCCCTCTCTCTCCTCCCTGGTGTGTGTTTGGTGGCCTTAAAGTGCATTTCTACCTTAGTTTTGCACTAACACACACACTACCACACCCTACTTCGACTTTGAGGCACTTTGAGGGTTGTTTGTTGAGTTTTTGGACTGGTTTTGATCAAAAGAAGAGGGCTGCATCATCTGTTCTTCAAAGGATCTTCAAGGGTAATCACTTTGCTTTAGTTTCCCCAAACTTGCACTAGTTTTTTACCTGTCTTGCTTGCTGATTTAGGCTTTGTGCATAACATAAAAAAATCTTATATTTTCATGCTTAAGAACTTTCATTAAGGGTGTTTTGTGGTTTGAGTTCAAACTCACCCTCTTAGGCCTTATTTGGCCTTTTTGGTGCTTCCTTTGTAAGGCCTTGTTTGCTTGAGTGTCTTAGCCTTCTCACCACTGAAAATCAGTGGATTTTCAGTGGTGAGGAAGGTGGTTTGAAGTCTTGTAGAGGGGAGGGACACCCCTCTCCCTTCATTACCTCTTTTCCTTGCATTTTGGCTTAAAGGGTAACATGCATGTTTGATTGATTTTGGACATTTTTCAAAGGTTTTTGGGTGTTTTTAGGTCATATGTTACCTCTGTTTTTGGTCGGATTTGTCCCTTTTGCATGCTTAACATACTTGCTTTACATTCCTCTATTTGGCCTAGAAATGTATCTTGTGTTTAGGCCATGACTCTTGCATGTGTTAGCCTAATTTCATGAACGTATTGGCATTACTTTACCATGTTTAAGGCCTGTTGGCCATCTGTTTTAGTCATGCTTGCCATGTTCGGTGTCATCTCTTTGTGTTTTGGCTTGTAAGCTTTGAGTATATTAGCCTCTAGCATGAGTAACTTAGACCATCCTTATGATTTGGCATCATTTAGGATCATATTTCAGTCCATAAATCATGTTTGTATGTTTGCATATGTGACCTCTTTCATGCTTTGAAGGTGTGCCCTTTTATGCTTAAAAATGAGTTTTGGTGCATGCATCTCATTGGAGCCACTTAAGCTACCACATCAGTGAGGTTTGGAGTCCATTTTTGCATACTAAGTTTCTGTTTTTGCTTGTCTAATTCATGCCATGAATGGTCATGTTAGTGGAAGTAAAGTGTCCCCTTTTGTGCCTTAGTTTTAGGTCCATTGGCTTGGGTATTGGCATGAGTGTTTGTCCACCATTTTGGGCACTTTTGGCCACTGTTTTGGGGTGGATTGAGGTCTGCCCCTTTATGGTTTAAGTCTACAATTGCATGCTTGTTTCATGTTTGTTGCATGATTGCTTCATTAGGTGTTGTAACATGATGATCCTATTGCTTACATTGTCCATGTTTGCATTGCATTTGCAACTTGCATGCCTAGCATTGCATACTTGCCATGGTAGTTGCATGGCATTTGGCATGCCTTGCATATTAATCTCATGTTGTATCTTTGAGTCATGTTTGCATAACATGCATTGCATTACTTGGTTTGGGGTGTCGAACCAAGTGTGAGGGTTAAGGAGCGTTCATACTATAAGAGATGTAACCCGTCTTAACTCTCAGTCACCGGGGCCCTTGACTTCAACATGATAGGGTCTTGGTCCTCATTTGTGTGTTGCATGCATTTTTACATCAAATGGCAAGCTTGATCACTTAGGCTATCATGCACAATTGATGGCTCGAGAATCGAGGGCCCTGCTTCCCTGAGTTCAAAGCATGATGGGTAGCATGATCATGCTCACATGTGCTTGAAATCCCATGCCATATACTGTCTGTCCTCTGTTGCTGTCAAAACTGTCTTCTGCAGGAGGTTTCTGCCGACCGGCAGCATCCAATGCCGACCGGCCATTTGTGAATTGCCGATGACTCCATTAGCAGCTGATGGAAATTACCTATGGCCGGTGGGCATTTCCTCCAGCTGATGGTATTCTACAGTGTGCAAGGAACCTGTCCCAGAACTTTGGAAATTTTTAGAGAAGCAGGGTAGTGTAAACAGAGGTGGCAGTGGTATAGTGCGGACTTTCCGGGCGAGACAGATTCGAGCAAGCATCATTCGCGCATCCCAAGGCAGGGGCAGTGGCCACCTTTCTTTTTGTATTCATTTTGTTAATTAATTAGAAATTCTGTAATAATTTATGCGTTTATTATCCGGACTGTAATATTTATTTGGACCCTCCGAGTGAGGGCAATTTTGTAATAAGTGTGCGTGAGTGTGTGTATGTCTTCCAACCCCACGTCTTTCTTCCCTTTTATTTACCTGCTTATGATGGTAGACTAGGGCATGTTTAATTTAGCATACCTTATGCTATGCATGCGTGCATCATTCATCAGTATTGCATGCACCGGGCTCGGCGCATCATGCTAACTGCATTAGTATTTCAAATCTAACTTGAATACATGCTACTTGTGCATTTTCACATGCCATGTTTAGGTTAGCCGAGCCTATTCTAATTGCATCCTGCATGTGTTGAATTAGTCAATTTGACATGAACTAGGACCATGCATGTTGGCTAACCAGTTTATTGTTTTGGCTCGGAGTACTCGGTAAGCATTTATGCTTTAGCATATCTCGTGCATGTGAATGCTATCATGAAAGCATGCTTACCATCTGGCTAGATGCTTATGTGATAAACTATTTGAATGCCTGTGGGTGAAGGTTGGATTGCCTGAGTTGGAAACACTCGTTGAAATCCGTGTTTTAGCCTACTTGCGAGTAGCAAATTCCAAAACATTTTTCCAAGACAAACATTTTTCCGTAGAGGCCGATCTTCGGATCGAGCGAGAGGGGGTGCTCATAGCTGACCTTCCCCAATCGTACCCTAGCTCCCGAGCCGAGGCAACACTGGTGATGACGGACATGTGGCCTTCGGCACCGAGTCAGGGTTTCCTAAATTCCCTATAAAAAAATATTTAGGTGGCGACTCTGTATCTGGCAAAGCAGTCCATGTTTGGCACTTCCTTTCAAAAAAAATCTGATTCTCAAAATGATTTGCCAGATTTGGACTCTTTGGTTCAGATTAAGAACCGTGACCCAAAATCGAGTTCGAACTGTAGTAGCGAGGCCCCCCCACGCGGGCGCGTCTACAGGGTCATTCTCAAAATCTTTCCTAGGGATATGAGAGGCCCCTCCTGATCCTGGTGCTACCATCAGTTTCTTGTTACCCTTTTGTTCTTCTAAGCCAGATGATGATGACCCCACAAGAACCCCCCCTGCAACAGCAGCAGCAGCAACAGAAGCCACTATCTTCTTCGGAGTCCCACTTTCGCCATTGGAGGAGCTTTGGGCGCTCTCACTACTGCCTATTCTGGACGTATCCAGGATTATGACTTTTGGGGGGCCAAAGTATGTTTAACCTCTAACTAATAAAATTTGAAGTTCAATACCAATTTCTATTAACATGAAAAAAAAAATCAATCATGTTACGATAAAATATTAAATTATATAATCCTTGTCAACATAGTTGAGTACCAAAAGATGATCATACAATTGAAAATATTTTTTTGCCCATATTCACTTACAAAAAGTAGTAACTATTTCTACATGCATTTATTTACTAAAATTAGGCATCTTCAATTGAGCTCGACGTTCTTTCATAATATCAAAAGCATCGATGATAAAGTCTACATCAAACCCTCGAGCAATGTCCTTTTCAATGTACGTAATCAAGTAACTAGCAAAAAAAACCATCTTCCATCCTATTGCGCAATTTAGACTTAACGAGTTTCATAGCTGAAAATGCACGTTCTGATGTAGCAGTTGAAACTCTTAGAGGAAATCAACAAATCATAACCTAAAAGCCTATTCAATTATCAAGAAATTACATAACACAGTACCTACCAATTACAATAAATCATAATATTAAAAAAAATTCACAATATTTAGTTAACAATTGTACCAAAAACAATTATCAGATATTCATCGCAACTCCTGGCTTCTCCACCCTATGCCAACCTCTCTGCCACAATTTCACCCAAAAAAACAACCAACTTGCATTGGCCCCACATAGTCATTAAATTATTATTTATTTTCTAAAAAATTCAAAATCAATTGCTAGCCCAGATAATGTTAGAGTTCATTAAATTATTATTTATTTTTTAAAAAATTCAAAATCAATTGCTAACCTAGATAATGTTAGAGGTGGTGGGTTCTGATGTGTGTGTTGAAAGAATGTATGTGTTTTTATTTTTTCGATTGGCATAGCAAAATAAAAGAGTGTTTGGAGAGAGGAGAGAAATCTATTGACAGTGGGGGTGTAATTGTGGGTTATGTGACGTAGGAAGTTGGGGATTTTGGGTTGTCAAGTTTGGGATACCAAAACTAAAACTTGGGTTGAAGATTTCTAGTTGTCTGCACGCTTATGGGTGACCAATAACAACCAATAACAAATTAATGACAAAATAATTGCATTATTCAGTCTAAAATCACAATCCATCATAATATTCAGTCTAAAAACATAATAATCACATTGAAGCTGAAGGGATATCAGATAACTTACCAGTGAGAGTCCACGGTTCCATCGTCCACGCGGACCAACTCTGACGAAGTCCAACAACAAAGCTTTTTCGTTTCTTCCCTTGTCTCTTCGTTCCTCTCCTCTCTTTCGAATAACAAGTCTCTTACATCAGTTGTTTTCTTTTCTTTTTTTAATCTTAGTGCTTTGTTTGAACAAGCTTCTCCAGCAAGCCTTATAGTTTATATATTTGTAAAAGTTTCATATTTTATACTTTGACCCATTAAAGTTTCTAAAATTTTGATGGGATATGTAGGAATTGTGGTATTGAAGGTATTAGGCATTTCTGGACTATTTTTTCACCTTCAGTTAACAATTTAAAATAATTGTCTTTTTATCTTATTATAACGATAACATATACCACACTACCTCTATCAATCTCTTTATCCCATCTACTTATCTTATGGTGTAAGTTATCCTAGATGAATTAACTTTCAATCCTCTACCTCTATCGACTTTCAATTAACTTTTATTTTTAATTTATATAGGAGAAGAGTTACCATATAACTTATTTTTATAATTCTATATATATCTAATCCTTTATCTCATCTAATTTCATTATATAATTTATCTCTCACAATCTTATCAATAATATCATCCTAGTTAATACCATAAAAAAAAATGTTGAGGGCCACAAACATAATTCAACGACCAAAGGTGATTTCCAAGTTCTTCAACTCTGAGCATAGGGAAAAGGAAGAAGAAAAAGATAAGAGAAAAGAGAAAAGTAAAAGATGAAAAAGTTGATTATTCGCCTCTCCTTTTATGAAGTGCAAAATAATTTGAGTTGTGCTGTGGTTGCTTTCCTATTCCTAGAGAGAGAGAACTTGATTACAGTAGCGGAGTTAAAAATTTAACATAGAGGAAGCATATATTGTTGGTGAAAATACCAGAAAAAATTATATTTTATTGATAAATGATGCAAAGAAAAAGAGATACACATAGATTAGGCTGAGGCACAGATATCTCGTTTTCTTTAAGGAGATCAAGCTCATTGCGGTAGGAAGAACCCAAATACCGATGCAGCAGTCACAAAACTATGACTTGTCCCCTCTAGGATACAACAGCCCGACCACTTGTCGTATGGTTCAGGCCAACTTCGCACAAGATGGTGAACCCAAAGCTCCACCAAGAAAAACACCCTTCTTTGCTAGTAATCTCTCTTGTATAGAAAATAATTGATGTGTTGGTGTAGAAAAGAGTAGATGAGAAGACCTATTTATAGGCCACTAGGACCTTGCAAATTACACCAAGAAATAATGACCATTAAACAAGAGAAAATGGAGAGACTCCAAATAATAACTCACCACCAAGTTCATGAATTCTATTTGACCTCCATTCATGAACAAGATAAGATTCATGAACAAAAATATATATATAAATAAATAAAAGATATTAAAATAGTCCAACAATCCCCCACTCATTTTAATATCAACAAGGATAAGAGAGATTGTCAAACAAAGGTAGACTAATATGCATCATGAAGGTGTGCTCTGCATTGAACCTTCATTAGTGAAACAACAACCTCTACTCCAGAGTCAGTAGTGGTCTCAGACTTGAACTATGACTGCTTAGGGGAAATAAAGAATTACTGCTCACATATAATAATCCAGGTGTTGACATGAACTTTAATAGCTAGCACATTACGGCCATGTGCTAATCCCAGTTTTCATGAGCATATTTGAGAATAAGCCTTGTTCTCATAGAAAGCGGCCCCACTTTCATGAGCATATTTATTATAGGTTTGGGATGTTCTAAAAAAGTGCACTTTTTGACTTATTGGCTTATATGGGTTGGGTTTGGATTGGGTTTGATGTGATGTGTTAGAGAGATGATGTGATTTAAATAAGATGATATGACTTAAATAGGATAGTGACTTTTTAACTTTTTGTATTATTTAGTGTACCCCAAACCAAGATTTCTTAAAGGCGGCTATCCAAATTGTTTCACCAATCAAATTAATAGACAAAATAGCAATTTCAAAACAAGTTAAAGGAAAAATAGGAAAGAAAATCTTAGAGGTGTCTTTGTAATTAATTCAAAATCAAAATATTTATGTTTTATAACTGACTACGTTTTTTTACATAATTATGAAAAAACCTTCATCCAAATTAGTAACCACTAATATTGAGAAATAATACGAAATAAAAGGGAAAAATAAAAAACTAAAAATACAATTCCAACTCAGAGAGAAAAATCAGGGAAAAAATATGAGCCTAAGTGATTCTTATACATATACTAGTTTAAGAAGGCTCGTACAAGGCACATGCTATTATTACAGTATATTTAAGTTTTATATTTTGATAATTTTTTAAAAATTAAAATATTGTTCTATGAAATTGAATAGAATAAATCATTAGATATATAATAGAATTATGTGGTATGATATGTATCATTTTTTGATTTGTTATACACCCAATTATGTAGATTCCAATTTTATTATCATATCATTTAAAGTAAATTTATGAGTCTTTAACATTTCTTCCGAATTTATAATAATAATAATAAAAAATTGGTGTGTAATTTTTCTCAATAGATAAATATAAAACAAATACTAATAAAATTATCTCATCTAAAAAAACCTACTAAGATAATTCACTGAACTATTAAGAAGCAAAAGAATTATATATATATCACTAATTTTATTAATACATAAATCATACTTGCATAACAAATAATCAATTTTATTAATAAGTAAATCATTAAGTAAATTAACAATTTTTAATGACATGAAAAATATTTTTCAGTTAACCATTTTGTTGATAAATAAATCATTAAGTCAATTAACAATTTTTAATGATATGAGAAATATTTTTTAATAAACAATTTTGACAATTTATTATTGTATAGAAGATTTTTTTTTTCCCTGAGTGTTGTGTTAAATGAAAATTTATAACAAACGGTAGCTGTAATTTCTAATATTATAAGACCGATTCATATTTTTAACAAATCTTATGGGTGTATTTGTTAAAAAATAAAAGATTTAAATTGCATAATTGATCAAGAATGTTTGCGTAATTATGAAAAGATCTGTTTCATGATTAACCAAGAATGTTCGCGTAATTACAAAAAAAACCTATTGTATAATTGACTGAGAATGTTTGCATCACTACGAAAAAATCTTCATTCAACATATAGGCCACCATTAGTAAATTATTCAAAATGAAAAGGTAAAATCGGAAAAAAAAAAGATGAATATCAAGCAGTTAAGTGGTTCTTATATATATACGAATTTATATATGTATACTAGTTTATGATGCTAGTAAAGTAACACCTATTTTTGAAATCCCAACCCAAGCATTGCCCTCCAATTGGTTCTTTTAATTTTTAAATTGACAGCTCAAAATTAAAATTTGAAGAAAAAGTTGTCTCAAGCACTGTCAGGCATTTTAAATTGTAGATAGGGATAGTTCCAGCTCTGAAGAATTTTTTACATAGTCTACACTCGATTTAAAAGATGTCAAAATCAAAACACAGTCAACTTGATATTTAGTCATTGCTAAACCTTTCAATACATATTTTGTAGACAACATGCTGGTGAATGGTGGGTTTGAAGTAGGCCCAGCATTTCTAAGTAATTCATTCGAGGGGATTCTACTACATGAAGAGCCAGAATCAATGTGTAGACGTCCCCGAACGTCACGGGAGGGAATCCCGTTTTGTTCATTGGGCTTACTACAGTTCGGACTCAAATGTCACGGTTCTGAATCTAATCTCGCAAAGTGCAATGCAAGATCGATAAATCACCAAAGTGTCTAAATCCGACAAATCGTTTTGAAAAACTGATTTTTAGAAAGAAGTGCCAAACATGGACTGCCTTGTCCGATACAGAGTCACCACCTAAATATTTTGTTTTGGGAATTTAGGAAACCTTGACTCGTGCCTAAGGCCACGTGTCCGTCATCACCAAAGTTGCCTCGACTCGGGAACTTGGGTACGATTGGCGAAGGTTACTTCGTGAGCACCCCCGCTCGTCCGATCAAAGATCGGCCTCTACTAACCATGATATCGAGTTTTGAAAACATTATGTGCTCTTAATCTGGTTATTAGCCTAGAATTACTATGTGATGTGCACAACATACAAGTCTAGACTGGTTCGCCTGAATTGGAATAAAACATTTTATGTTTGTTTGAAAATGGTTTGAAGGTGCTACTCGCAAGTAGGCTAAGACGTGGATTTGACACCCTCAGGTGGGCTTAGGAAAACATGATTTTGCCACTCTCAAGTGGGCTTAAAACTCATAATCGATGAATTGTTCCAATTCAAATAACCCAACCTTCACCCACAGGCATTAGGCAGTTATATCACATAAGCAGTTAGTCTCATAGTAAGCATGCTATCATGGCAGTCACTCACACATATGCAAGGATGCTAAAGCATAAACATTTACCGAGTACTCCGAGCCAAAACAAAAGCTATGTTAGAAATCAATGCATGATCCTAACTATGCTGAAATGCCTAATGCAACACATGCAAGAATGCAACTAAGATAGGCTCGGCTATTCTAAAATGGCATATGAAATGCAACAACTGATACACGTATTCAACTCGGAATTGAAAGACAATGCAGTTAGTATGATGCGCCGAGCCCAGTGCATGCAAGACATATGAATGAATGTAAACATTCGAGTATAAGTATGCTAATTGAAACGTGCCCTAATCTAACCATCATAAGCTGGTAAATAAAAGGGAGAAAGACGTGGGGTTGGAAGACATGCATCACACACACACGCACACTTATTACAACATTGCCCTCCTCGGAGGGTCCGAATAAATATTACACAACCAAAATGAATAACGAATTACAGTTAATTATTACACAACATTAATTAACAAATTAATGAAGAAAGCAAAAAAAACTAGCATGCAATGCTACATGAAATGGACTGCCTCAGCTCTGCTCGGAATGATGAAGGATGCATGCATGCTCGAGTTGGCTTATCGGGAAATCCATCGCGATGTCCCGATTTGCCTCTGTTTGCAATTGGTTCCGGAACATTGTACAAAGCTCCAAAAGGCTGCTAACCTGTTTTTGCTGCTGGTTTCCGGTTTGCTGCAACAGAGAGCGAGAAAGGGGCATGACAAAGTATTTTCAACATATGTGTGCATGACTACACTCCCTGTCATTGCATAGGCTCTAGGGAATGTGATCCTCGATCCTCGTGCCACCAATCACGTATCTCGATGCATGATGGCCGAGGAGTCGGGTTGCACGACTCGATGTAAAATGAATGCACATATAAACACAACAAGGCCTAAACTCCATCATGGGTAGTCTGGAGTATTGGCGACCGAGAATTGAGGCACGTTTTGTCACTTGGAGTACGAAACGTCCCTCGTTTCCCGTGTTTGGGCTAAACCCTACTCCAAACACAATGCAATACACATGGCATGCACGAATGCAACTCTAACATGCAACCTAAACATAATGCCACTAAATGATGCAAACATGCAGATGATGACATGAAAACACGCTATTAGCATAAACAATGCTATGGAATAATCAATGGCATACTCAATGCACACGAAAACTAGATGGCATACGCAATGCACACGTAGAGACTAACAATGAAATGATCATGGTATACACAATGCAATGGTCAATCATGCAACAACATGGACTAAATGGCATATACAAAGCAAGATGGACTTAAACCAAGATAGGTGAGCCTCAGCCACACCCAAATCAGTGGCCAAACATGATGAAATTAAGACAACAACACTTATGCAAACATGCACAATGCGAGGGACCAAACCTAAGGCACAAAGTGCAACTCTACTAAGGCATGGTAAGGGATGAAACATGGCACACAATCACACATTCTCCAGCTCTGAATTGACATACAAAGTGGCTCCAAATCATGCAAATAGCCCACATAATGCATGCTAGAAGGCTCAAATACCGAAACTAGTGAAGCGCATTACCCTAGAGGTATGCAAAGCAATGCACAAATGGCCAATCCAGCCCCAAACAGTCCCTATGCAGGCCCAAAACAGTAGGAAAATGGACTAAAATGATGGCTCGAAAGGCATGGAAATGGAGCTCATGCAATGGCCTATAAATGAGGTATTTAAGCACGACTCTCAAACACATTTAAAGAGTGGAAAACATGGGAATATGGAACGAGTATAGGCTCTGAAATGACATGCTCAATGACCCCAAAACATGGAAACACCACCATTCAAGCATGCAAGAAGCTTCAAAACTCAAAGCTAGGCATGGGCATTACACTACAACTATGCATAGCAAGCATTATTCGACCATGAAACATGAAAACAGAGCTAAGGCAGTCCAAAACATGCACAACATCAGTTTAGGGCATGGCAAAAAAGTGCTAGAATCAAGGGCCAAAACAACATGTAATATAAGCTAGTGAAGAGGGTTTACACTACAAGTATATAAAGAATTCAAAAGGCCACTAAACCAGCAAAAGTCAGAGGTATGACATGCCAAATAAAGCCCAAAAACTCACTGAAACATGGTCCATGCATGCAAGAATGAGGTGCTCCTTTGATGAGCCATGAAAGGGATTGCTCTACACTTGCAAGAGGCATGCAAATGGGGGTCAAACCAGCCATGGACAAAGGCTAGGAAGGTCCCAAAAGTCACCAACAAGTGCCTGAAATAGGCCTCCAAATGATACAAACATATGCTCCTTTGATATGCTATGAAGAGGGCTGTTCTACACATGCAAGATGGACACACAATATGGCAAAACCAGCTCTGGACAGAGCTTATGTAGGTCCTAAAACTCACTGAAAAAGGTCTGAACCAAGCTTAGGAAGCATGCAAGTAAGGGCTCATTTGTTAGGCCAAATATGCTAGAAAAAGAAAAGAATGAGAGAGAGAGAGAGAGAGGGTCACCCCTCTCTGATTTTGGCACTCAAAATGGCATGCTAGCCACTGAAAATCCATTGGATTTCAATGGCTAAGAAGCCAAATAAAGGCCAATGCAAAGGCTTAAGTGCATGGCTCAAAACAAGGTGAAAACAAGCATGCAAGGGGGTAGATGACCCTTAATAGAAAATTGATCTTAAGCAAACATGTTAAGGACCTCAAAATAAAACTTTTTTCAGTTTACACCAAAGCTCAAAAATGCTCGAAAGTATAGCTAAGAGATGAAGCAAAATAAAGCTTAAAACGGGAGATAGTGTGTTACCATTGAAGCTCAAAACCTCCAGCAACTTCTGGACCAAAAATGCAGCCCTCCCTCTGAAAACAAGCTCCAAGAACCTCCAAGCAAGGGTGGAAGTGTGTGTCTATGAAGTGGTGTGCAAAGGGGCCAAGAAACTCACTCTTTTTAAGCCTAAGTGTAGAGATACAAAGAGAGATATATGTATGCCTTCGACTAATTTCAGAACCCTCTACAAGGAAGGGGAGCCCTTCCTCTATAGAACAAAGGGTCCAAAGCTTCTCCTAGAAGCTTCAAACAAAGGGCACATGTATGGAGGATCCAGTCTGTGCCCCCCAACTGGCACAGCTGGAACCAACTCACTAAGACAAGACTGCAGAGAGCTGGCCGACCAGTTCAGGTGGTCGGCCGACCACTTCCCCTGGTCGGCCGACCACTTCAAAAGGTCCAAGCTGATGAAAGGTGGTTGGCAGCCCTGATTGGTGGTCTCCACCTTGAATGCAAGCTAGTGGTGGTATGGGAGACTAGTAAATGTGGCTCAAAAGATGAGGGAGGCCAGTTATTTGACAAGAAAACCGACCGGCAGGGGAAAAGTGGTCTCCATGGAGAAAAGGTGGTCTCCCACCCTTGTACCACCTTCCAATCAATGAAAACAAGGTCCATGCCAAAAATGAACCAAGACGGATGCAAAATGAGGGTTTAGGGGCCGAAACGCGCAGCTGGGTGCCCCGAAAACTGACTGTTAAGTATTGAAAGTGGCGTGCGACCACGAAGATGGTCTGCTGGGCCACAGTGTCCCTCTAGAGAGAGGAAACAAGGTGTGTGCCAAAAACTGGAGCAAACGAAGAAAGTTAAGCGGTCCCGAACCGAGGCGTACGATCGACGGCTTTGAAAATCGAAAACTGGTCTCCAAATAGGAATAGTGGTCTACGACCACGAAAGGTAGCCTACGGCCACTGAGAGATGGTCTACGAGACCTCTCCCTTCCTTCGGGAAGAGAAAACAGAACCTAGTTCGCAAACCGAGGCAAAGCACAAAAGAGTCCCGAAGTCCGGAGTCAAGGCTCTCAGCCGAGACTCTGTAACCTCAGAAAGAGCACAACATGCGCAATCACCGAGCACGCAATCGATGACGTCCGAGTCTTAAGGTCGGTCAAAAATGGGGTGCCTACAGTTGCCCCTCTTTGACAAAACTCGAAAGTCATAAGTGACGGGAGTGAATGTCAAAGCCCAGAGACGACCCATTTTTGACAAGGCCGAAGACTTAGACTAACAGGCGAGATAAACAAGAGATGGGCCTGCAGACAGGGGCAAAATGAAAAATGACATGCACAAAGCCGAACGTAACTCATGATCACTCAAAGCAGCAAGCTGTAATGAAGCAAATATTCACAATAAATGCAACAGTTTTAAGTAAGAATGCAAAGCAAAACTCCATTTCATGCAGTTTAAGAATGCGGAGAATTATTCAATTCTCGCTATGTCTCACACGGAGAAGATACAATACCTGCCCGGTTCATCTGGTTGCACCAGCTTCAAATGAACCGTACCTACAATATCGTCTAGTCGCACCAGCCTCGAATGAACTGTACATACAATATCGTGCCTGCAAAAGAGAGAAACTTAACAGGCACAACATAGTTAGCAACATATGTTCAATACTATATCGAATGCGGATAGAAATGGTGCCGATGGAAAAGTGCATCGCAATGCAAAAGAAACGTGCGTGACAACACAAGTTAAGTGCGGGGGCATGACAATGCTAGTGAAATGTGCACAACAATGCAGGCGATGTGCATAATAATGCAAGTGACGTGCAAAACAATGCGAGATAAGTGCGACTTCAAAAGCATGTTTGAAACAAAACATTAAGCAAGGACGTGCAAGCCTCGAAGAGAGCAATTCAAACACGACCTCCGATTTACCTCTCGGAGGGGTCGCAACATACTAAAAAAGGATACACCATGATCTTGGCGAGTAACAACGAGCCACACGTCGAAGATTGGATTTGAAGTTCCCGCGGAGGCATTTCGCGCCAAAAAGTGCACTCTCTTTGTACTTTCCCGAGAGCCGGGGACTCCGATCACCACCAAAATTTGCAGGGAGAACAAAGAGACCTTGGAGACCACCCAGGAGTGCCATCAATCACTAACAAGGGCCACCGACCAGTAGTTTCCTAGGGGGTGGTCGGCTTGCCAGAAAACCTAGTCGGCCGACCACTTTACCAAAACAGGGCAGTTTTGTCCTTTTATGCTCGACTCTTTATGTCCACTTGTCCAACTCACTGTTGCTCACAACCCCAAGGCCGAAATTAGCTCCTCTTTCTTCCTAGACCATTTTCCCCCTCAGATTTGCACTTTATACGCATTTGCCAACGCCCTACGCAAAGTTGTTTCGCGAAAACTTTCAGTTTTCTTCACTTTGAACCGATTAGAATTTGATTTCAGAGCTACTTTCTCCATTTCCGCCACTTGAGGTATGCTTGTCTCGAAATTTGGGACATTTTCTCAGGAATTGACTTTTGTTGACTTTTTTATTTCCCGAGAGTTGACTTTTGTTAACTTTTTCCATTTTGGCTCATTTCGCTCATTTTTGCTCATTTTTGTGGATTTCTTCTGATGGCAGATCACTTTCCCCAGGTTCTCCAGGTGCCAAGGGTGAGCCAGACATCATGTCCTTGCCCCCGAGAGTTTGGCTTTTTGATCTCGAGAGGTATCATTCTCAGGAGCACATCCTACCTCCGACCACTTTTTATCATTTTATCGACTTTGACCGACGAGCACCCACGGATCTGTTGTTACGGGAGCCGGAGTCTCGCCTCTCTCACCAGGCACGAGAGGTATGTATTTCATTTTCACATTCTCTGCAATGTATTCTGTCTTTTCTACACATTTCATGCTTTCACTATGTATTTCATTTGCTTGTTCTAAACACATTCACACCCTCTGTCCGGTCTATTTGGCACACGGCTGATATATGACCATACTTTGCTCGTTTTAGCACACAGCTCACAGCACAGTATTCTGTTTAGCTGGCACGCAGCTTACAACACTGCGTATTCTGCATTTTGAACATACAGCTTGAACTTTTGATTGTGAACACACACCACACACTTGTTAAAAGTTGAACACGCAGCCCAAACTTCTGAATTTCTGAACACGCAGCACACACTGTTGAAAGTTGAACACGCAACCCATTTTCTGATTGTGAACATGCAGCACCCACTTGTTGAAAGTTGAACACGCAGCCTAAACTTTCGAATTTCTGAACACGCAACCCATTTTCTGATTGCGAACACGTAGCACACACTTGTTGAAAGTTGAACACGCAGCCCAAACTTTTGAATTTCTGAACACGCAACACATTTTCTGATTGTGAACATGCAGTACACACTTGTTGAAAGTTGAACACGTAGCCCAAACTTTTGAATTTCTGAACACGCAGCCCATTTTTTGATTATGAACACGCAGAACACACTTGTTGAAAGTTGAACACGCAGCCCAAACTTTTGAATTTCTGAACACGCAACCCATTTTCTGATTGTGAACACGCAGCACACACTTGTTGAAAGTTGAACATGCAGCCCAAACTTTTGAATTTCTGAACACGCAGCCCATTTTGTAATTGTGAACACGCAGCACACACTCGTTGAAAGTTGAACACGCAGCCCAAACTTTTGAATTTCTGAACACGCAGCCCATTTTCTGATTGCGAACACGCAGCCCAAACTTTTGAATTTCTGAACACGTAGCCCATTTTCTGATTGTGAACACGCAGCACACACTTGTTGAAAATTGAACACGTAACCCAAACTTTTGAATTTCTGAATACGCAGCCCATTTTTTGTTTGCACGCAGCTTATATATTTCATTCTGAAACTGAATACATTTGTTCATTTTGAATGCAGGTATCTTCCCGTTCGACGCGAGGTTATGGTTCGATCATTGCCAGGGACTGGTATGCAGAGCTTCCAGATACTGTTTGCCATATTGTGGACGAGGCGGGGTTTGGACCTTTCTGGGCGGGGCTATCACATTACCCTGCGAGCAGGACCTTGATGGGGGCACTCGTGGAGAGATGGTGGGACACCAACAACTCTCTTCACTTTTCAGCTACCGGGGATATGATGATGACCCCGTTCGAGTTTGCGATGCTGACTGGCCTTGATATGGTCGGCCGACAGGTCCCCTATGATGAGGATATGGGCGAGTGGGAGGCTGCCTGGATCTATCTATTGGGAGCTCACCCACTGATTGATTGATCTTCGGGCAGAGTCAGATACACTTGGTTTCCCATGCAGTATAGGGGGAGTACGTCCGAGACTCTTGAGGAGATAGAGCAGTACGCTTGAGGTTTCTTGATGTTCCTCCTTGGGACCACTTTGTTCTCCGACAGGGGGAACACTGTTGGACTGTATCTGCTCAGTGCTTTGGTGGACCTGCCATAGGTCAGCGAGTATGACTAGGGTAGTGTCGGCCTTGTTACCCCCTACTGCTATATGAGTGCGACCTCCCGCGGACGGGGGAACATAGTTGGCGGCTACTGGAGAGCCTGAGAGGTACCTTCTGTCGTCTTGATTTACATTTCTGCTTTTCATCATCTGTATACACGGCACACTTTACATTTTGTATTCCACATTCTGCACTTAGCACTCTATATTTTCTATATATTCTATATTCTGATGGCCACTACCCTATTTTCCATAACTATGGGTTTACGCGTACTTTTCGACGCTAGCCTCGGAGCTCGAGGTGGCGGTGCCTCTTGTGATCCCTTATTCTCATGTATTTTAGGGCTGATGCCGGCCGAGGGTTTGGGAGACTCTGCCCTACCTACGGCAGTTTTTTGACACTGTGCGGGCGACCGAGATAATTCAGAACTCTAAATTCTTCATGTTTTCAGCTTTGATTCATCTTGCATATTTACGATATCTAATCAGCTCATGCACTAGTTATCCGCAGATCACTTGGTAGCCCTGGGCGCCCTTGGGAGTAGACATCCATTTCCAATTCCCTGGGGGATGGTCCACTTCTCGATATAGGACCTTATTTGAGGGGCCAGTTGGCAGGGCCTGGTTTCTAGGAGATTGTTTTTTATATCAGACGCTGGGCCACCCTGATCAGGATATCCCCTCAGCACCTCCAGAGGACATGCGGTCCACTGAGGATCTCACTCCCCAGGGGGTCGAGATGGCTATGTTGGGTAATGATGTTATGCTGTTCCTGGAGGAGGGAGAGTACGCGACCTACCGCCATATGTACTTGATGCCTCCACTGACAGGTATCCGTACTCCTACGAGGAGGGCTGCTGGTGTATCATCGTCAACTCGAGCCTGGGCTGCAGATGTTCCTTCGACTAGTAGGGCCGGCACATCGAGGAGTGGGGCTAGACAGATTCCCCCGATTCCCCCGACTTATTAGCATGTTGGGTGGCCCGATCTCCCGACTGAGCTGACAGGATAGCGATACGAGACATCTTACCCGATCCCACTGGAGCCTCCACTGCCTGATCACCGATACGTCCGAGACCCTGACTCACCACCGGTATGCTTTATAGCTTTCATTTATCCCTCAGATATATATTTAGACATTCATTCATTTACTGATGACTTGAACTTGCATCTGTAGCCTTCTGGCGAATACATGGATGGGTTGCTAGGAGTGATGGCCTCCCTCGAGGGCATGGTTCTACAAAGGGAGACACAGCTGTTCATCGCTGGGGTTTCGGTACTTTTTAGTTTTCCTACATTTATCATACTTTTGATGACATGCTAAATTTGACCATTTCACTGCATTGGTTGACTGCATGTGTATTGCTCGGAGTGATGGCCTCACTCGAGGCCATGGTCCTGTGGAGGGAGATGCAGCTGTTCATCGCCGGTGTTTCGGTACTTTTCAGTTTTCCTGCATTTATCATACTTCTAATGACATGCTAAATTTGACCATTTCACTGCATTGGTTGACTGCATGTGTAGAGCACATTTGACACACACCACATTCATTTACCGTATCTGCATGCACCAATTCTATGTAGCTTTCTTGCATCGGTATTTCATATACATATTGGCTAATGTATTCAAATTGCCCTCTTTTTCAGATGCCATCGCTACAGGTCGGGCCATCCAGGCCTTCTCGAGGAGATGGGAGAGGGGACTCGTCTCGCAGACGAGGCAGGCGCAGAGCACCCGTCATAGATGATGAGGAGTCCAGCGAGGAGGAGAAGTCTAGGCATCCTCGGTCAAAGACATCCGCAGATAGAGAGGAGGACTCTGGCTCCAGTTCCAAGAGTGGAGGTGATGCTGGGGAGGATCCCGAGGATAGCAGCTCCGACTCGGATGATGGTACCGATGGGGGTGGTACAGAGGCTGTTCAGCCGAAGATGATGAAGAGAGCCTCTCAATCTTGAGCTTGATGGCACCGATGCATATGTTCCCGTTTTATTTTCTTGATTTATTTTCCTTTTTACTAATAGCTGTAGCACATTAGCTTAGGCAGTTTTATTTTCTGTAAAACTTGTACCCTTCTTGTAAAATGTTGTAAAAAGAAGCCATGATGGAATGAAACAGCTTTTTGTTCAAAAAGTGTTGCGTTTTGTATTCTTAGTATCACATCGCATCATTTTGCATAAAAATGAGATTGAATGAAAATTGAGCATCGAATATTGCCAAGTCAGGTAGTGAACCGACACAACAAACTAAGCAACCTAACTTACTAAGAAACAACAAAACCTTAGCAAGTTTACAACTCGATAAGCAAACTTAACAATGTTGACAAGCAGAGAGTAACAAGTCGATGTACAAGACTCGACGACTCAATAAACAAGCTTACAACTCGATGAACAAATGCATTACAACTCGATAAGCAAAGACTCTACAACAACTCAATAAGTAAATACATTTCGGACAAACCGGGCAACAGAACGCATCCGAAACAGAGGTAAACGTGGACCTTCAACACTCCCAATGCATGGAAATGCTAGGAGCTCTCTTCTAGAAGCTCAGACAATACCGAAACTCTATTTCTCTTCATG